GGCGCCCCGGGCCGGCGGCGGCGAGGGGGGTGAAGATGGCGGACGTGCTCAGCGTCCTGCGACAGTACAACATCCAGAAGAAGGAGATCGTGGTGAAGGGAGACGAAGTGATCTTCGGGGAATTCTCCTGGCCCAAGAATGTGAAGACCAACTATGTAGTTTGGGGGTGAGTCCAGCCCGGCTGTGGCCCGGGGTGCTGGGGCAGAGTTGGGCGCCCCCAGGCGACTTCTTTCCAAACCCCTCCCCCCGTTTCCCGGGGGGGGGCATGAGGGAAAACGGGTGCTGTGGGAAAAAGTTTCTCTCCCGAGCAGAAGTTGCACTTCGAGGGCGAGGAGGGGACAAGAGCTGCGTTTGGAGCGGTCCACCCCTTTCGGTCTGGAGGGAAAGGTGCCGTGGGAGTTTGTGACTTTGCAGCCCATTGTCACCGGCGTGTGCCAGGTGCAGCGGTGTCAGGGCCGGTGCTCGAGCGTACCTGAGCGAGGTGCACAAAGGAGCGCCGGCTCTGCCCGAGAGGGGCTCAGCGCTTCCCCCCCGGGTCTGCCGTGTGTGAGCCGGTCCTCGCGGCTCTGTCTAGTCTCCTTTGGTTACTGGGAAGGGAGTTAGCCCAGGAGAAGAGAGGGCACCGCTGCGTGCAGGGACGACGGGAGAGGGAGTGGGTGAGTTTGGAAGAGCCATGGAAATAAACCGGCCTTGGGGGGAGACGGGCTCAGGGAGAAAGTTGCTGGTGGAATGGAGTGATCTCTACAGATCTGAGGTCGATGCTGTGCGTGATTGTTGGGTCGCGTGTTTTAAAGGGAAGTGTTTTGGAATGTTGATCCATGCGAGGCTTCTCGAATTTAAGTCAAGAGACAGGTTTAAAAATCACTTGGGACCTTTGAAGTGATGTAACTGTCATTCATACTTTATATGGGTGATTTGAACCAGGAGCCAGCACTCCTTTACTCATTTTGTTTGAATGAATGGGATGTGCTTACTGAGAAATCGATGAAAAGCTAGGAGAAATGTGGTTTGCTGTTTTTTTGAGATTATTCCTTTTTGATTTGATTAATGATATGAAATAGCAATTAAGTGACATAATCCCAAGTTTGCCTGTGTCTCGTCCTTTCAGATAATTTGCATAGGCAGTACTACATCTGTTTGGAGTTTTAATGGCTCTTTTCTTTAAAAAATGGTAAGGAAGTACTCTGTGTAACGTGGCTCAATCTGGGAAACAGAAAAGTTTAGTTTACTCTGAGTAGAGGAGATGAAACAAGTAACTTGATGGGAAATGCTTTCTAGCTCTTAAGAGAGCCATCACTTCTGGTTGGGGGTATTTAGGGACATAGCGACATTCCACAGCAGTGTATTTCACATGGTCACCCCTAACAGACTTTTCTTGAATAAGTGAATGAACAAACGAATGAACTGTAAAGAATGGGAAGGAATTCTGTGGTGAAATGGTGGATTAGGTCTTCCAGTATGAGGGAATTATGTAGACTTAAAGACAGGAAAGCTGGGAAGGAAAAACTTCAACAGCAGTTTACTAAAGCCAGTGAAAAAGGAATGCTTAGAGCGATAGACTTAAACTTTTTCAACACTGAATTATATCAAGAGTCATTTTCATTATGTACACGTGTGTGCGCATATAAAAACGTACATACATAGAAGGTATTAGACAGTACTTACCCTTATTGTATGTGGTGCATTTGGTATTTTTATTTTATTTTTTTATTAAAAAGAATTATTTTATCAGGGGACCAGCAGTTAGCGTAATGGCTATGTTGCTGGACTCCCATGTAGTCGACCACAGTTCAAGTCCCGGACCCCGTGGCTTAAACTCACGCTGGGCATGTGTGCGTGTGTGCCCAAGATCCCAAGAGGAGAATGGAGGAGAAGGGATTGCCACGTGGTCATTCCCCCTGGGCGGTGATTTCTCGCTTTCTGTCTCTCTCTGTCTTTCTGGCGAGTGCACGTACCCTACAGCAAAAACCTCTCCAAAAAAAAGAATTATTTTATTTAACTCTATTTGTTTTAATTTGACCAGAGAGGGACAGAGTGAGAGAGAAAAAGAGAGAGGGAAAGTGAGAAAGTAAGCCTCCAGGTCCGGGACTTGAACTGTGGTCAGCTGTGTGGGAGTCCAGTGCCCTTAACTACCACACCACCTGCTGGCTTCAGTATTTTTCTTTTTTATGCCAGAAGAAACACCTTGCAGTCCTCTGTGTCTTGAATTTCAGAGTTCAATCATTGATAATGGTGTGTAGTTGGAAATACATTGATTTAGAGGAAAATTGGAAATAGAGACTAGAGAAGTAGGTTTGGGGTGATTGTAGTGAGCCATATTCAGATGGATTCAAACAGTGCATTGCCATTTCGATATGGGGAAAATGTAGGAGGAGGAGCGGGATTGGAGACTTGGCCATCTGTGTGCCTACGTTAGAGAACATGCACCCCTAGACCATGTTGTTTTTATCACAGGTAGAATTGCATTTTGGTTTTGATCATTTGTATAATTTCAGGGATGTTATAAGGATCAAACTTCTGAAATTCATTGTTGTGTTTACTTATGAAAAATGTTAAGGATGTTCGCATTTAGCAAGAGCCATAGGATGAATATTTTGTACTGCTGATAGTTGTGCATCTTCTAAGCAATCTGATTGTTTTCTCAGGTGGATCTTCTCTAATCTGTAACTGGTTATGTTTCTCTTTATTGACAAGCCCAAAGTCTAATTTGCACCTAATTCTAAAAAAGTGTACAGTGCTTATGATAGGAACAGTGTGTCTTTCCTTCTACTTTTTTTGTCATTGTCTTTCTCTTTTCCCTAATGACAGTCGACTTGTTATTACATTTTATGCCTTATATGTACTTTTGTTAGTTATGTCTTCAAAGATCTTTTTCTGTGTTCAGTGTAGAGTATGTGCATGTGAATGAGAGGGAGGGAGGGGCACCCACCTCACCTCCTGGTCACACTGCGGTTCCCTTTCTTCAGTTCTCCAGCCTCTCCAATACTGGGTACTTAGGTGTGCACGCCTAGCCTGTATCAGGCTGAGATTCGAACCGTGGTTGCCATGTGGGATCCAGCTTTTCTTGTGCAGCTTGGTCCTGGTACACCGTTGGAGCTGGTCCTGGTCAGCCATGTAACTCCAATGTGAGGTAGCAAAGTCGGTATAGATAAATGAATACATATAATTAAGCCTAAAGGGTTGAATTAGAATTATGAGTATAACTCTTCCTTTAATTATTTCAGAACTGGAAAGGAAGGCCAGCCCAGAGAGTACTACACTTTGGATTCTATCTTATTTCTACTTAATAATGTGCACCTTTCTCATCCTGTTTACGTTCGACGTGCAGCTGTAAGTAGAATTCACTTTAAGATTTTTTTCCTTTGCTTTATTTTTACTTTGTTGCTTGTAGTTATCCTTTCGCTGGATAATTTCCCTCATGAATTTCAAATAAAAAAGTGAAAGGTTTGTGTGAAAGTCTCTTAGAGTGTCAAAATTAAGGCAGTGTTTGATTTATAGAGATTTATTTATTATTTTGCTAGAAGGTAATGTGCTTGCTAGAGAGAGACAGAGAGAAGGTAGAGGAGAAAGTCTTTCTCATTGGAAATGGACATGCCTCAGTCCCTTCTCCTCCTCTTTTTGGATTTTGGCGCTCATGCACATCAGCCTGGCGTGTTTCTCAAGCCACCAGGTCTGGGTCTTGAACCTCAGGGTTGGTCATGTGGGATCTGGTTGCCCTATCCTCCAGGCCATGGAGCCATCCCAGTGCAGATTTTTAATTTATTTTTTTTCACATAAAATGTTGGTAAGGTTTTTCACATAAAATGTTGGAATCTCTTAGGATACTTACAAGGATGTTTTAAAAACTTAAAAGCTGTGGAAAGACCTTGATAGTTTAGAATGATAATTTATAATCTCAGTAAACTTAACATTTTTGTTATAAGTATCAAAATAAACAGATACCTTTTCTTTTGAATTGCTGTGTAAATGCTAGAGAGAGATAGAGGGGAAAAAAGAGGAAGAGGGAGAAAAAGCCCATCAGTGAGGCATGATCACACTTCAATTCCTTATCTACTTCTCCATCCTGTTGAGATTTTGGGCATGCACGCACATGTGTCCGGTGTGTTTTCCAAGCCACCGGGGCTGGGACTTGAACTACATCAGAAGCAGTATTTTAAAATTGGTAAGTAAGGGACCAGCAGTTGGCATAATGGCTAGTCGCTGGACTCCCACGTAGTCGACTACGGGTCAAGTCCCGGACCTGGAGGCTTAACCTCACACCAGGTATGTGTGCGTGTGTGCCCAAGATCCCAAGAGGAGAATGGAGGAGAAGGGATTGTGGCGTGGCCATCCCCACTGAGGGGTGATTTCTCGCTTTCTGTCTCTCTGTTTTTCTTTGTCTTTCTGGTGAGTGCATACGCCCTATAGCAAATACCTCTCCCCCCACCAAAAAATAATTGGTAAGTAAATAGTCTCGAGAGTTCTTCTGGTATGGTAACTGTATGACATGGGCCATTGCCATCAATGCCCAAATGTCCTGAAGAGATGTTTAATCTTTGTTTTAATTTAAGTAGTTATTTTATTTAAATTTATTTATTTATTTTAATTTGACCAGAGACAGAGAAAGAGAGAGAGGGAGAAAAAGTGAGAATAGTAGCCACTATGTCTGGGACTCGAACTGCTGTCCGCCATGTGGGAGTCTAGTACCCTGAACTACCACGCCATCTGCCCGCCCCTAATTTTTTCTTTTTTTTTTAAGAGAAGTTTCTTGCTATAGGGCATATGTGCTTCCTGGAGAGACAGAGAGACAGAAAGCAAGAAATCACTCCTTAGGAGAGATGGCCATTCCACAAACTGTTCTTCATTCTCCTCTCAGGATTTTGGGTATGCATGCACATACAACCAGCAAGAATTTTAAGCCTCCCAGTCTTGTACTTGAACTACAGTCGACTGTAGAGTCCAGTGATGTAACCATTATCACATCTGCTGGTCCCTACAGGTGTTTAATTTTTTTTCTTTGTTTTTAAGGGAGATTTTTTTGCTATTACTTGCTCAAGGGGAGACCGAAACAGATAGAAAATGAGAAATCACCTCCCAGGGAGGCTGGCCATGCCGCAATCCCTTCTCTTCCAGTCTCATCTCGATATCTTGAGCACGCACGCACATGTGCCTTGCGTGAGTTTCAAGCCGCCAGGTCCAAGACTTTAACTGTGGTCGACTGCATGGGAGCCCAGCAATGTAACCGTTATGTCATCTGCTGGTCCCAAGATGTTTAATTTTTTTTTTTTTTTTGCAGAGGGTTTTGCTATAGGGCGTGTGTGATCTCCAGAAAGACACAGAGAGAAAGACAGAGACAGAAGGCAAGAAATCACCCCCCAGGGGGATGGCCACACCATAATCCCTCCTCCTCCATTCTCTTCTTGGGATCTTGAGCATGTATACACACGTGCCTGGCGTGAGATTAAGCCACCAGGTCCGGGACTTGAACCATGGATGACTACATGGGAGTCCAGTGACATAATTATTATGCCAACTACTGGTCCCCTAAGATGTTTAATTTTAAAACTAGACCCTCAGATTATTTTTAGTAGAGTTGAACATAAATTTATTGAAACATAATTGAAATAATCAAATGTCTGTTTTTTTAAAGAAGTATTTTATTTAACTTTTATTTATTATTATTATTATTTTCCAGTTTGATCAGAGAGAGACAGAGAGAGAGAGGAAGTGAGAAAGCAAGCCACCAGGTCTGAGACTTGAACCGTGGTCGGCCATGTGGGAGTCCAGCGCCTTTAACCACCATGCCACTTGCCGGCCCCCAAATGTCTGGTTTTAATATTTGTTGTTTTAACTTACCAGTCCACACTTAGAAAACTAAGTGTGAAATGTATTAATTTACAAATGCTGCTTTTTCCCATTCCTTACAATTCTTTCATTTTTAAAAGAATGATTTTATTTATCATCATAATTATTTTAAATTTGCTACAGGGTATGTGGGTTCAGCTGAGAGAGATAGAGACAGAGAAAGTGAGAAAGCAAGCTGCCAGGTCTGGGACTTGAACTGCTGTCTGCCATGTGGAAGTCCTGTGCCTTAACCACCATTCCAGCCACCTGCTAGCTCCTAGAGCCATTTTTTCAGTTTTCTAACACCATTGCTAAGGCATAGTAAGCTGTATGAAAATTACTTCTATCATATTCCTTTCTTCCAACTAGTAATGGTTGAGGTTTCTGGTTTGTGTGAATTGTGTTCCAAACAATACTTTGTTATTTAAAGCTTCTTAGAAAATACCTTTTTATCCAGTGGGCTTTGTAAGTATTAAACTGTAGTGTTTCTCCTTGGCTGAGCAAGTGATACATATTGAGTCTTAGTTACTTGTTTAAAAGGAATAAAATTAGGGTGAAACTACTTGGGACAGAGTGGGGAAAACAGTGATATCTCTCTATGAAGTTACTTTAACCATATTAGATGTTTAAAAATGGAACTAGGCAGTAATTTGAACCTTTTATTGGGTATATGTATTCATCTGGGTAGAGAAGATTTAGGTACTTGGTTTAGATTCCCAGGTAATGTTCTTGGGGAAGGTTTGCAGCACATAATCGAGAGTTGTGAGTGTTACTATGGACCTCAGGACCCTTGGACACGTAAGGTTTATTAACTCTTTTAGTTTTTCTTAAGTATTTGCCATACCTACCGAAAGGGTAGAATTCTAAAACTCTAGGGTCTCCAAATTCGAGGTTGTCTTCTAATTTCTTAGTGTTATTTGCTCTTTTCTGTGCATAGGCCATTCCTAGTACAGGTATTCCTGACCTATGGCTTCTGTTTTAGTATGAATAGTCAGCTGTGGTCTATACATAACTCACTTGTGACCAAGTGATGAAGTACATCAGCAGACTTAGAAACAGTGACTTCATTTTTTAGTTTTTGGAGAGGTTTAGGGTGCGTGCGCTTGCTATAGGGTGTGTGCGCTTGCTAAAGAGACAGAGAAAGAAAGTGAGAAATCACCCCCCAGGGGGGATGGCCACGCTGCAATCCCTTCTCCTCTTCTCCTCTAGGGATCTTGGGCACCCACGCACGCACATGTGGCTGGCGTGAGCTTAAGCCACCGGGTCTGGGATGCAAACCGCGGTTGACTACATGGGAGTCCAGCGACATAGCCATTATGCCAACTGCTGACCCCTAGAAACAGTGACTTTAAGAATTTTAACCATGATATTCCATGTAGACTGGCTTAAAAAAATAAAAGCACAAAAATCCTTATGAGTTTTTAAACTTTTGTACTCACAAGGGAAAGAAAGTAAAATTTAGCCTGGCCTTTTTTTAAAAACAAAAAAATGATTAATTTTTTAAAAAAAGTTTTAAAGTGTGTGCACTTGCTGGAGAGATACAGAGATAGCGAGAGGGAAAGTAAAAAATCACCCCCTGCTGGGATGGCCACGCCACAGTTCCTTCTTCAGTTTCCTGGGATTTGTAGGTGCACATGCACCTGTGCCTGGTGTGACGTCCAGGACTTGAACTGTGGTGAGCCACGTGGGAGTCCAGTGACCTAACCACTATGCCACGTGCTAAGCACAGAATGTTCGGTGCAGGGAAGTGTAATCAGTATTCAATATTTGATAGCGCCCAGTACACTAAGGGTACTTTTTGCTCCATTGCTGCTCGTATGAAGTGTCAGAGGATTTAGATAGAGTCCCTTTGTCACGAGTTTTACCTGTACTTTATTATTTTTTATTTGTTGATGTTAGAAAAATGATATGGGGGGTAATTTCTCATTTTCTGTCTCTCTGTCTCTCCAGCGAGTGCATGCACCCTATAGCCAAAAAAAAAAAGAAAAGAAAAGAAAAAAAAAGATATGGAAAATTGTGGTAATGACAGGGTTCATTGAATTCTTGACCCAAGGATGACTTGTTACCAAGAGTATATAGTTACATTGTTTTGCTAATCTCTTTACAAATTGGTAATATAGGCAATTAGAGGAAAATGATTCATTTTATTAAGTGGATAAACTTTTCAGATTTATATTTTAGAAATTGATACTGTATGCATATGCACAAGACAGACAGAGGCAGAGACACAGGGAGACATCCTTGACAGGTCTCGTCAAGCTGTGATCCCCATTTCCAGCACTTACAGCTCCTTAGGATCCTGAGTCACCACCACGTGGGCTCCTGGTGTCTGCCTAGGATCCACTGGCCACGTGATCTCTATCCTCCTCGCGGGGCACTGTGTTACCGCTGTGAGATGGTGGCTGGGCCCAGATTTAATTTTTTCACTTTTCTCCTGTGTACAGAATTTATACACACTCCAGGACTAAAAGGAAATATATATTGTAGAAAAACATTATTTTAACCGTTAACCAATATGCCATTACCCTGTGTAACCTCTATACTTCCCCATTCATAAACAACATGTTGTTAATTGTCAAAATTTAGTTTTAGAGGCTAATTTAGTTTATGTACAGGAGTTTTGGGGCCAGCAGGTGGTGTGGTGGTTGAGGCACTGGACTCCCACATGGCCAACAACAGTTCGAGTCCTGGACCTGGTGGCTTGCTTTTTCACTTTCTTTCTCTTTCTGGTAAAATTGAAAATAAATTTTAAAACTAAAATTAAAAAAAAAAAAAAAAGAGTTCAAGTACAGCTCTGGTTTGCATGTGAGAAAAGAAAGCACTTCAGAGACATTGTGTCCAGTGAGGAGGCACAGGGGTGTGAGAGGAGTGCAGACCCTCCCGAGCTCCACCCCTAGCAGGTGCTTAGAGTAAACCAAGGGGAAGAAAGACTGGAGCTGGAGCTGACCCTATGAAAAGAGCAGTCGTGGCTTTATTTCTGATGCTTGTCTATTGTGTAGCTCCTTGGAATTTCAAAAGTAAAATGACCAAAAATTAGTGTGCTTAAAACATTTCAAGATTAAAAAGAGAACATTTTCTTCCTTCCACTTGTGAGAGAGACAGAGAATGGAAGGCAGGCATCTGCCACAGAGACATCATACTAGAAATCTTCCCTGCTTCAGCCAGCTGTGGTCATGGGTGCACACATGTGCCAGCTGTGTTCAGGGCGGCCTCCTGATGTAAACCTGGAACCGTCCTTGAGGGTCAGTCTGAGGGAGCGCTGTGGTACCCTGCCACCATTGTCCAGCCCCAAGGTGTTTATTTGGTTCTTGTAGCTTAATCATTTTTGATAAATGTGGTTTTTGAGTATATGTTATGAAGATATATTGGAATAAAATTAAAATTTTACATAACGTTTATCGTTTTATATCATTATTCATTTAATGTCTAATTTAAAATTTTGGCTTCAGACTGAAAATATTCCTGTGGTTAGAAGACCTGACCGAAAAGATCTACTTGGATATCTCAATGGTGAAGCATGTGAGTACTTTTTAAATGGCTTCTACTCTTAAACATTGTTCCTTTTTTCCCCTCATGAAATGAGTGGGAAGGAAATTTGTATTCCTACTAAAAATGAAGCTTGCTGCAGCTCTGTCGGTACGCTCCTCTTTCTTTCCTGTTAGAGTGAGTGCATTGTCTTTGCTTCAGGGCCCATCATCCTTTCCCTGTATGTGGATTCCGACTTTCTTCACTCTTTCAGAGATTATCCTTGGTAAATTATTTCTCTCTTACATGATTAGTTTTCTCTTTCTATATCATGCCCTTTTAGAATACTTACAGTAAGGGACCAGCACTTAGTGTAATGGCTATGTCACTGACCGAGAGAGACAGACAGAAAGAGAGAAATCACTCTCCACGGGGGATGGCCACGCTGCAATCCCTTCTTCTCTATTCTCCTCTCAGGATCTTGGGCACGCACGTGCCCAGCGTGGGTTTAAGCCACCGGGTCTGGGACTAGAACCACGGTCGACTACATGGGAGTCCAGCAACATAGTCATTATGCCATCTCCTGGTCCCAAGAGTGCCTACTTTTAAAAAATAGTTTTGAACCCACATTTCTGCTACCTAGTGTTCCATTTGCCTTTTCCTTGTTACTGCACAATGCCTTGCAAGAATTAGTGTGGTGTTGCTGCATCTCCTTTACTTCCGATATCCTCCGGAGTCCACGCTAATCTGCCTTTCGTCCTTCCCATTCCTCTACAACTCTCTTATATTGGCAGCACTCTAAGGATTGCTACTTCCTTTGGTCTCTCAGTTATTTGGCCTCTCTACAGTTGTAATACTGTTGAACATCCCCCCCTTTTAAAGTATTCTCTCTTATGTTGGCAGCACTCTAAGGATTGCTACTTTTGGTCTCTCAGTTATTTGGCCTCTCTACAGTTGTAATACTGTTGAACATCCCCCCCTTTTAAAGTATTGCCACAGGGTACCTGTGCTCTTGAGTGAGAGAGGAGAGAGAGAAACCCCCCACAGAGGGTCCTGGTCATGCTGCAGTCCCTTCTCCACTTCTCCATTCTTTTGGGATTTGGGGCATGCATGCATACATGCCTAGCTTGTTTTATAAACTGCTGGAGTCAGGATTTGAACTGTCATCAGTCATGTGGGGTTTGGTTCCTTAAGGCTTTAGGCTGCAGGTCAGTCTGACCAGCCTGACTTTTCCCTTTTTGAGAGCTTTTCCTCATCTGGTGTTTAGAACATCAGGCTCTTTGGACTCTCTTTCCACTCACTTTCTCTCTCAGTTTATTTTGTTTATCTCTGTGCTGGACCTCTAATTTGTGAATTTTTCTAGGACTTGACTTTGTTCTTAAAAAAATATATACAGTCAATCACTGTGCATCACCACAGCTTGTAAAAAGAATTTTCCCAACATGAATACACCTTTTTTCCTTTTTAACCCTTAATCTCTAGGTGACCTCTTTCAGTTTTTTTTTTTGGAGAGATTTTCACTATAGGGCGCGTGCGCTCGCCAGACAGAGAGAGACAGAGAGACAGAAAGCGAGAAATCACCCCCCAGGGGGGATGGTCACGCTGCAATCCCTTCTCCTCCATTCTCCTCT